CACTGTACTAGCTAGGGATTGCATTATCTTTTCTTATAAACACAGGCTCCTCATGGGGGCAAAGGAATAGGCTTATTACCTAGAAATCTACAATGTAATGGCATTTTTCTAAAATGAAAAAATTTCCCTGTAGAAAGGTGTGTTTCTTACAGCAGTGTTCACTGACTTGAAATCTTCAGAATCTGATAGAATAAATTTTTGGTCACACCCAGTTCAACTGGATGCAGTCCCAGAGAGGACTGAGGGAGAGATTATCTCTGGCTATGAAGCGAGAAATGCGGAATAAAAACTGAAGAGTGAGGTGTTGGGGAAGTAGGAGGCGGGCAGTGAAAAGCAAAAGCTACAAACTCAGGAGTGGATCAGCATTTTGGAATGAAATATTGATTCCCTAATGTTATACACATCACTAAAGTGAAGGAACACTTAAATCTATCATTAAAGTTGCAAGTTAACAAATAAACAAAAACCAACAAAAACAAAACAAACAAAGAAATCCTTTCAGAATGCAGATTTAAAAAGCTGAGCAGTAGGTGGCGTATCCTAAGAACCCAGACACTGGAATCAGACAAACCAGGAGTGGAAGCTCCTCTCCCGCCACATAGCCTTGGAAGTTGCTTTAGCTGAAATCAGTATTTCACAGCTCCCAGCATTGCTTCAAGATAGCAAGGAATGGAAGAGCCATGGAAGATCCATTAGAGGGAAGTCTTGAGATGCTGGCAGTGAATGGAAAGGAAAAAGACAAAGAAAAAAGCATCTGGTAAGCAGAGAGAAGACGGTAGACACCCAGGGCAGGCAAAGACAATTCAACATACAGAGACGCCAACAAGTGAACTACGGTGAACGTATCTAGAGTCACTTATGGGAACATCCCTCCCGAACTGGAAGACCTAGAAATGCCAACGCAAGTGCGTTCCACACATCCAGAGATGACGGACGCCACCACATGTCCTAATTGCATCCCTGGAAATTTAGAAGTACAAAAAAATCACTTAAGCACCCAGGGAGAGAAAAATTACAACCCACCCAGAAGGGAGAAGGTTGGTCTGAAACACCTCCATGATTCCAGAGGGGAGGGGTGATGGAGCAGCTTCTCCGGAGCTCTGAGGGAAAGACAACGGGACAGATTATAGGGAGTCCAGGCAACTGTCTTTCAAGTATGAAGACAGCAAGTAGGTATTTTTGAAAGTAAAACAAGGAAACCCAGGCTGTTACAGTCGTTAGTCCCAGTTGGGCCACTGGAGAGTTACGTGATGAAGTGGAGTTAAGCAAGAGGCCTGCAGATCAAAACTGGAGGAACTGTGGTAGGTGATTGGAGATCGATATAAAAGCATCTGAATATGGAATTTTGCTCACTTGGGGTAATTGTTGCAGAATAGAATTTACACAGTTAAACGCTAAATATGGAAGTTTACGCCACAGGGGTTACTGTTCCAGAACACAGTTGAAATCTATAAACCCTGTGGAAGTGCACATGCTGTAGGCAATTAGCGGGGCCCCACAGCCTTTTCCAGGGGGAAAAGTTAAGCAGAGCGCCTGAAGGGCTGGACGCCTGGGATCGCTCTCGACAGCCATCCTGTTCACTTTTCTCAGCATTAGAGTGACTTTTAGAAATTATCTTCTTTTAACGAAATAAATGAACAAACAAAAACAGACTCATAGATACAGAGAACAGGCTGATGGTTGCCAGAGGGAAAGGGGTTGGAAGATGCGTGAAAATGGTGAAGGAATTAAGAAGTTGATAGCTACGAAATAGTCACAGGGATGTAAAGTACAGCGTAGGAATAGAGTCAATAATATTGTAAAAATTATGTATGGTGCCAGGTGGGTACTTGAAATTTAGGAGGATCACTTCATAAAGTATATGATTGTCTACCCACTATGCTGTATGCCTGAAAATAATATAAAATAATATTGAACGTCAACTGTAACTGAAAGATCAAATAGAAGAAAAGAAATTATCTTCTTTTGTGGTAAAAAATGATTTCAGAAATTACATTGGTGCTACTATTTCCCATTAAACTCAAGTAAAATTAATTTATTTTAATTTTAAAATAGCATGGATAGTGTTACCCTTGTGTATCAAAGTATCTCTCTCTTCAGATTTCTATTTGTATATGCACATGGAAAGATGTTTGAAAAGATAACCAAGTTAATACTGTTTTGGGAAAGTTAATACATTTTAAGAAATTGGTTTCCTTCTTAGGAATTACTGCCTAAATTTTTAAAAAAAAAACAAAAACAAGCATGAATGATATTTATAAAAAGCAATAAAGCCAATACTTAAAAATATACCACTCACATGCCTTTCTTGGAGAAAGAAAAACCACAATGGAATATATTGCAGCTTACTGAAAGATAAACCTAAATTAAGTAAGGAAATAAGTCTATAGACAGGCAGAAAAGACTGAATCACTAAAGGGAATTACACTTGAATAATTGGGAAGCTGTTCTAACATGGAGATGCAGATGTCAAAATGATTCCTTTCTTATTTCTTATAATTTATTCATCTATTCAACAAAGTGTCTGAGTGCCTGCTACCTCTCTATTCGATGACAGGCCCCTAGGATCCTTCAGGTGAATGACAAGGTTAGATTTAGATATAACAGAAATGAGAGCCAAAATCAGTAGAGGGGCTCAACTTTATAGAGCCAAAAGGAAGCGTCCGCCTACAAAGAAGCTATGATAGGAACTATCACAAATATTCATGCCTCAAATAATGTGCCTCACTCTTTTTATAAGAAGCAAAATCTGTTAAAACTATAAGGAGGAACCAGACTCACAATGATGAGAGAGTCCCTGAGCTTTTAGAAGATCAGAGAAGTGGAAGTGTGCGTGTCTGGTTGACTTATTACACAACAAAAGTTGTACTGAAAAGGGAAATCCCAAGCTGGTGTCAGCCCAGATGCCACCTCTTCCCCCTTCTTCTCAGGGACCAGACCCTCGTTGTGACATTGGCCTTCTTGGGGAGACTAATTTAAAGCTCAGCGCTGGGTCTTGCCACCTTGCAGGGACCTTGCCAGTTCCTGTCCCTGCTCCCGGCTGCCCCAGTCTCATGCCCAGTTCCAGGCTGCCTCTCATTAGGTGGCCCCAGCCAACTCTGCAGTGGCCCTTAAGGTCTGTGGGCCTTAACCGTGGCCAGCAGCGCCCCCACCATCACTACCCTACGGGTGGTGCATTCAGATTCTCCGGGCCCCTTCCCGCCCAGGTCTGGGAGGAAGCTGGCCTCCAGTGGCTGGACCGTCTGCCCTGTGAGGAACCAGAGCCCAGGCAGCCAGCCTTGATCCAGAAGCCTGGGAACTCAAGCCCTGAGCAACTGAGGGAAGTAATGAGAAAGCCTTTCTGACTTCCGCTGCCTTCAGACTACCACTCTGGACTCTGGCTGCAGCCTGAGACTGTAAACATCTGGGTGAGAGACAGCAACTCCTGACCCTGTAATTTCCCACTGGAGCCTCCCCGTGGATACACAGCCGCGGTGGGTGGAGGTTGGAGGTTGGCCAGCCGTCCCAGTCTGATAAGAGTCCCTAAAAACTCTCCGAATCAATGGGCAGATTTAGCCTTCCCAAACCATGCCCAGACCAGCATCTGTGACATATGGTACAAATAAAATGGGCTTAGTCGTCCATCTGGAAGGATATCATTAGAGGCAGTTGAGACTAGGAAACCTCACGCGAAGACAGAAGGCCGTGCTCGGAGACAACGCCGTCCTCACTCCCAGCTCCGTACGCTCCGTGGGTGGACCGTGGCTTACTGTCTGGCCTCAGGAGACTTTGCTTTCTTACTAGAGGCTAAATTTGTCCCCGAGTGCCCACTGCCCTGTGGAAAACCTGGGCCACGGCTTCAAATAGGACTCGACTCTTGGGCAAGATACAGACATGCATTCATGCGAGTAAACAGAAGCACGGCTGTGTCCCCGAGGCGCGGCGGGGTGGGAAGGGAAGGAAACCCGCCGATGTCCTGTTGTTTCCAGGACCTGTGTCGGGTCCTGGTTCCTGGCGCAGGCCCGCAAGTGTCTGTTCCCCATTCTCACTTTGCTCTGCACGCCGTGAGTCAAAGCTTCATGGCAAAGCTCTCGTGCATCCTATTTCTACAAACTCAAGTCTTCATGCACTAACTACGAGGGTCTGGCCCCAGAGGAGTGGCTCCCTGACAAATGTAGGGGAAGGCCCCAAAAATCTGAACTCAGAAGCACCAGGATGCCAGGTTGTCTCAGAAGGTGACAGTGGGAGCAGGCAGGTGAGCAGATGCGGAGAGGCTGGCCTGGCATTTTCAGGAACTGTTTTTACTTCATTTAATTTCCCCCCTTTCTTTGGCCAAACTGAAGGGTCCCTAATCCCTCCCTCGGGATCCAGAGCAGCCTCCAGAGCAGACTCTCCCACCCTCTTATCCTCACAAACTGTTCGCGTTAGATCCAGTCCCTCCCCAATCCTGGGAAAACCCATTGAGTATCTTTGTTTTCATATTTAATGGCGCTCCTGCTTTTTATGTTTATTTGTAGTTGTGGTTTGTTTCTTTCTCGTCTCCCAGCCCCACCCCAGAGCATTAGCTCCTGGAGAGGAGGGACCTGGGCTGTCACTTTCGCTGCAGCATCTCAGGGCTGGAATATAGGAAGCAGCCAGTTATCTCCTGACGTCACTATTTAATGACCTGTGATCAGAAGGACCACAGGGGTGAATTAAATGGTGAGGGCCTCAGAGCCCCTCCTCCGTCCAGTGGCAATTGCTGTTTAGGCAAAATGGAGAGAAACAGGGACTACGAACGGAACCAAATAGAGTTTCATGCCAGCTTTTATCCTGCGGAGACTGCAGCTGCCACCAGAGGATGATAAAACAGTTAAAAATGACACAGTGAGGAAGAATACAAGTCGGTACCCAACGCTGCCCCCGCCCTCAGAACCGGTGCTCAGAAAACACTTTCTGACTTACTGATGTTGCATCTCCAGGATACTTGTCCTCAAAAATGGGCAGACTGGCTACGGTGCTGGGCATAAGAAAGGAGAGGAGCGAGATAGACCTGGAGAACTCCAACACTAATGGGCTCTCTGCTCCGGAAGGATGTCGCCAGGAACTTTCCCTCACCTATGATGTGTCTGGTAAGTTCTAGCATGCATTCACTCATTCATTCACTCATTCATTCATTCATTCATTCATTCATTCATTCAACAAGTATTTCTTGAACAGGGTACTAGTTTGCTGCAGCTGCCACAACAGAAGGCCACAGGCTGGGCAGATTGAACAACAGAGACTTAATCTGTCATAGTTCTGGAAGCTGGAAGTCCCAGACCCAAACGTCAGCAGGGCCATGCTCCATCTAAAGGCCGGGCTGGCTCCTTCCGAAGCCTCTCTCCCTGGCTTGCAGGCGGCCGTCTTCTCCCTGTGTCCTCACAGGGTCTTCCCTCCGTGTGTGTCTGTGTCCTAATCTCTTCTCGTAAGGCCGCCAGCCAGATTGGATTAGGGCCCACCCCAGTGACCTCATTTAACTTAAGCACCTCTTTAAAGACCCTTTCGCCAATACAGTCCCATTCCAAGGTCCTGGAGTTAGGATTCAACATACGGATTCTGGGGAACACAACTCAGCCCACAGCAAACTCCAAATACACCCCGGGCTTCTTGTCAGTGGGAAAGCAGACAAAAGCCTTGGTACTGTGTGGCTTGGACCCTAACTGGGGAAAAAGACAGTAAGCCACACAGATCGATGGGGATGCATGTGTGGAGAAAGCAGGGGGGCACATGGGGCAGGGTGGTTTCCAACTTTAGAAGCAGTGGTCCAGGGGAGGCTGGGCGTCCAAGAGCACATTGGAGCCAAATCCAGAGAAAGGTGAGGGGGAGCTGAGAGGATGGCAGGGGTGGGGAATGGAGGGTGAGGGTTGACTGGTCCGGCACATTGGCGCAGAGCACAGGGGCTGCACACGGCTGACGTGAGGGAGAAAGGATCTGCAAGATCTGGGGATGGGTGCAGCGTAGTGAGGGCTAGGGCTTTCCAAAGACTTTCCTCCCTGAGCATTTCGTCCTGAGAAAAGCAGGAGCCAGTGGTGAAAACCTTGCCATTTCTTTCACCTGCAGAAACCTTGAGTGTAATCTAGAGACTTGTGCCCAGGTCTCAGGCAGGCCCAGTCCTTCTGGCAATCCCTCCACCACCACCACCCCCCCATGGGTGTCGAGTTGGAGGAGATCGTCCCAGCTGGTTGACATTACCGTGGTGACTGTAATAAAGAACAGGGTTAGCTGACAAAGTCGGTCTTTTCTTACACGGCTGCAGTGAGCTTTACAAAGTGTGAGGCAAGCCGCAGGTCATTTGCATTGCCGCAAAACAAAAACACACAACAGAAAACCCCCCGCTGGATGAGGTCGGCTGTTTAGGTTGTCCTCTCCTCGAGCTGGCTAAAACTCAAATCAAATCAGATCCAATAAGGAGCTGCTAGGTCAAAGCCAGGATTGAGAGACACCTATTTGGAGCTGTAGCCGGGGGTGGTGTGGGGCTGCTGGGAGGAGCAGTGACCGCCCCAGAGACTCAAAGAGGCACAAGTTCATTCGCTGCGGTTTATAGAACTTCTCGAACTTGGTTCTGGCTCTGGGTTCTCAGGACTGGGGGGCCCTGCCAAGAGGAGCTGCTGCTGGTGGAACCAGAGTCCCGGGAATCGCCTCTTGGTGCCCAGAGCCCGCAGGACACCTTCTCCCAGGTTCAGGAGATAGGTGGTATAAATGCTGGGACTGTTCTGTTTTGATTTATGGTGCAGGCAAACAGTCCATTAATCGCCTCTATTCATAGCTCACCCGAGGCAGGAGGATGGCCACTGGAAGTGGTTTTGAACTGCTTCCCGAGGTTCCCCCGCTCCTCAGGGGCAGGGCTTCTATTTTTAGAGACTGACCATGCCCTGAAGGTCCAGTCAGCCCATACATGCCATGTGGGGACTTGTGGGTGACCAGGGCAGACTGGGTGGGCTCTCCATTCAGATGGGGTTTTAAGAGTCCCTTTCAAGTAACACTAATGGAGAAAGGGGAAGACGGTATGTCTAGGCCAGCTGGCGCTGGGACACTTGGCCATAAAATGTCACCATAGTTGGAGAGCTGTGAGCTCCTCGTGAGGTTACATGGCTGGTGTCCACGAGACACCCACACCTTCATTTGCTCAACTGCGTTTATCATGTACCTTTTCCGTGAATCTGATCCTGGGTGGAGGATTTTTTTTCAGAGTGGCTCAATTTCAAATTCTCTGTTCTCTCCCAGCCGGTGGGTCTCCTGTCTTATGGGTTTCCTGTTTGGAACCCTAGCATAAGGATTCGCGTGTATGTTGCTTATGTGGGAGGTGGTCCCTACCAACACCTCTAGGGGGGGCAGGGAGGGAGAAACTCGAGACCATCAGTGAGTAGAAGGTTCCTCAGAACGTGCTCTGAGGCCAACTGGGCTGCAGGTTCCTTCTGAAGGTGAGGGACCCTCTTGGTGACCATGATGTGCCAGGTTAAACCTCCAAACATGGGCGCCAGGATGCCAGGCAACAGAGCAGGCAGTGAATTCACAGAGAGCTGTGATGGAGAATGTTGTGCTCACTGCAGATTTTCGTCACCCTCAGCTGTTATGTCTCATGATTTCCTCACAGATGGGACCTGTCAGAACTCAATATTTGTGCAGCACTTCTCTTGCTATGACGTTTGATGCTGGTTGTTTTAGATTTCTGGGTTTTCTCTCTCTATTTTCCCTCTAAAGTTTAGACTTTGTATCTTATTATATTTAATCCTAAACATTTACTCATTCAAATGCAGATCACACTCACAATGAAATATCCTCACAGAGCCGTGAGGGTGGCAAAGGCTTAAAAAACTGACAATTCCAAGTGCTGACAAGCATATGAGGAACGCTCAGACACTGTTAAGAAAAACAGAATGGCCTATCTTCTCCCTCTCTTATGGAGAGTCAGGCCAGGAATCTGCGCATGGGTCCTGCAGGCCAGGACAGGAGAGCTCAGGGCAGCCACTGGGAACAGAGCCGGACCCCACGCCAGGCAGCACTGTTTACCTGCATTCTCTCATGTGCCCTCTGCAACTAGCCATGAGGTCAGCATGCTGTTTTCTGCTGCTTGCAGGTAGGGAAACTGAGGCACGGAGAGGGTGTATGCATCCAGTGTGAGAGTGGCACCAGCATGTAGAGAAGTGGATAGGAGAGCTGCTGAAAGTAGGATCCGCCATGTAATGTGGGCGCGGTGGACTCTAAGGGCTGAGGTGCAACACCGGCTTGGACTGTATCCCGCAGGTGGGTGGGATCCACCGAGGGCTTCCTCCAGTGAATTCAGGGATAAAAACCAACCGGGCTTCAGGGGCCTCCCTGGCGCCATCAGGAGGCCAGGAATGAGGCCCCACTCACCTGTACTCTACCTGGGCCCAGTCTTACCATGTTGATCACCTCCTGGGGCTGCCCCTGAAGAGCTCTGCCAGCCTCCCTTGTAAGCATGTGTCCTTGCATCGTTATGGGCCAGGTGCGCTCACACACATGCATGAGCAGCAATGCCTATCAGAGCCCCCTGAGATGCATGTTTTCTTCCAGATCAGATACAGAAGAAGTGGACTCACAGTGCTCCACCAGACGGGGGGAAAGGGACCACATCTGAGTTCTATTAGCCAAACCCAACCCCAATTTATTTTTCCATGCCTGAAAATAATAGTTCATTTTTAGTCTTGTGAAATGCTATACTTCAGGGAAAAGGCACAGTGACAAAGTAACCCAGAGCACTGTTGTGGCCAGGCCCCTCCTGCAGATTCTTCCCCAACTTAACTGCGACCCCGAGAGAAGGAAGGTGGACCCCAGCTCTTGCCAGTTTTCATTAATTCCGCCCGGTTCTGCGCTCATCCCCCAACATCCCTCTGCAGGTTGCTTTTCATTTCAACACAGTAGATCAAAGAACAATGCTTGGTTTGGGTAGCATGGGTTTGTCAATTGCAAAATAATGTCTGAATTAGATTACCCAAGGTGTGCTTTAGGGGCTGAGTGAGGGGCAATGCAAAGACCGTGGGCCAGTGCAGCCCCACACTGGAAAACTCCCAGCTGAGAAAGTACAGTAAGGAGAGAAGACATCTGATGGGTTTCCATTCAGACCACACTCAATGAGCTCCAACCTGGAGTAGCAAGGGCCACGGACCCTGCTTCTCAGCTCTGGCTGCACATCAGAATCACCTGACACTTTATAATCCTAGTGCCCAAGCCCAGCAATTAAGTCAGAAATACCCAGGGTGGAACCAGGTGATCGCAATGCACAGCCAGGCTTGAGAAGCCCAACTGGGAACAAGCACTTCCCAAACCTTTCATCCCAGGAACCCCTGGTCCCCTTAAAAAGGGTCTGGGATCTTAAAGAGCTTTTCCTATCATATTTATCATGTTGGAAAATAAAACCGAGTAATTTAAAAATATTCATTTAGTGATTCATTTAAAAATAACAATAATAAGCCCATTTTTACATTCACATGAAAATGTGAATAGTTTTCTGAAAAATAACTATCTCACAAAACAAAACATTCAGTGAGGAGAGCGGTATTGTTTTATATCTCTGTGTATCTCTTTAATTTCTGGCTTCAGAGAACGCAGCTCGAGCCCCATCGCTGCTTCTGTATCCAGTCCATTCCTCATTATTTCATCTAGTTCCCCCAGTAACCCTGACATGGAAGTCACTACTATCAGTTGACAAAAGAGGAAACTGAGGCTCGGAGGATGGAAACCCTTTGCCCAAAGTCACACCGCTGTGAGCAGCAGGGCTCCGGCTGGGACCAGCTCTGCCTGGTCTAGAAACCCATGACTCAGCCACTACGTTAGATTCCTGCCCTGAACAGACCGACCGGGTACAGGGAACAGGGTCGCCTACTCTTTAAAGCTCCCCAGCTGGATATTATCTGGCACTTTGCTCATGAGCCTCCCAGGGATCCAGCTAAAGCCGGCAGCTTATGCTATCCTGTGTCACATCCATTTTCTCACCTCTCGCCTTTAGCGATTCATCTTTATTTGACTTGAGCTGTCATAGACGTTCACGGAGCACTTCCTGTGGGTCAGGATCCTTCTGAGCATTTCATAAACGCTAACTCCTTAGATCTTTATGGTTACTCTATGTTAT